GTGACACTGAGGCTCTTTTTGCCTGTTTCTTTTTCATATCTGCTGAATGATGGCTGTGACTGTTGAATTGATATGACAAATTTTAATAAGACCTTCATGAATAGGACTAATTTTGATTTCCCTTCTCAGTCAGAGGGAAATTTACAGTCTTTTAGTAACGATAATCTGGGATATTTGAGATGAGTATGTGGAAATCTTCCTTATCCACATATCTGCACACATTTACTTCAGAAGATTAGCATTTGGTTACGTCATTGGCTAAAAGGCTGGGATGGGACATTCTGCTGTTCACATAATACCTTCCAGAATAAGAAGGATTTCAGGACTGTGTTTTTCTTTGAAGTGGGTGGAGGAAGGGAGGAGGAAAGGAGAAAAAGAGGGAGTAAGAGAAGAAATGAACAGAACTGCAACTACCATGGGTGACTATGATATTGCCCCAAGGCTATGAAATTCAGAGAATGCAGACAGCACTTGGACTCTTTCTTCAGGCAGAAATAAATGAATGAGTGTAGAGCATCTAGTCAGTATAGTTGTATAGTTAAAAAAAATTAAAACAGGAATTTGCCAAAAAGGCACTTCCCCTCCCCTATCTGTATAGCCATATTTCAGATGAACTCCTCCCTTGACCAGTCTTTTCACTGCTTCCCTGGCAGTTTGCTCAGTAACAGCCTCAAGATGTTTCCTCCATAGGGGACATAGTACTACTGCTTTTCACTGTCTCTTCTGCATCAGAATTAGGCTAGAGCCTCTGCTCCTTTTTGACCTTGTGTCCATAGATAGTCTGCAAGGTTTCTCTTCCTCTCTACCTATCTTTTTTTTTTTTTTTTTTAAGGCAATTAGGGTTAAGTGACTTGCTCAGAGTCACACAGCTAGTAAGTGTTTGGTCTGAGGCCGCATTTGAACTCAGGTCGTCCTGACTTCAGGGCCGGTGCTCTATCCACTTCGCCACCTAGCTGCCCCAACCTTTACCCATCTTAATTCATTAACTTGATCAAGGGGACAGAATTGCTAGTTATAATCCTGGCACGGCCAGTTATTTTGGTTGTAGCTTACAGACTCTCCCTGCTTTTGTTAGGGTTTACTAGCTGATTTATACTGTCCTTATTGTGATTGAATCAGGGGGCAACTGTTCTCAAAAAAGTGGCAGGGAAGGGGGAAACAATATGAAGTGAGGGAAAGGGGAAGCAAGAAAAAGGAGAAACCATTCCATGTCTAGGGCAGAGTGATAAGGCAATGAAGGCAATATTTTGTTGAGAGCCAAGGAGATTTATGGTCAGAGAACATTAAAACTGGAAAGGGCTTTCGAGATCATTTAATAAAAATTCCTCATATTATTGAAACATTTTTTAACTTTTTGTTATTCTGAACTTGATAAATACCAACAAACAAACATTTTTATATAAAAAAAAACAGAAAAAGAGGCTTGTATATGAAACCATGGATCTCATAAGATGGTTTAAAAAAAAAGTATATACTCAATTCAACATGGTAGCTCTAATTCTGAACTGCCTTTTCATGTCTTCTATTTTTTTTTAAAAATGCTTCATTGAAACTCCTTTCTTTCTTCCTTTAATTGGCACCACTGTCACTAGCTCCCTTTGTCTTCTCAATCCCTGCCTCCCCCTCCCCCCTAATTCTCCCTGGTAACAATTCAACATCTTCAAAAAACCAAATCCACACATAGGCCAAGTCTGAAAATGTATGCTTTATTCTGTACCTCTTTTCTATCACCCCTCTGTCATGGGAAACATTTATTATTTATTATAGATTCTCTGAATCATGGCTGGTCCTTTCATAGAACAGAGTTTTTCTCAGGTTTTTTTCTTTTACAATGTTATAGTCACTACATAAATCATTCTCCTGGTTCTACTCACCTCAGTCTGCATCAGTTCATACAAATCTTCCCATATTTCTCTGAATCTGTTTCTTTTGTCATTTCATATGGTGCAATATTTTATTATAGTCATATACCATAATTTATGTTCATCTATTCCTCAATTGATAGGCATCCCCTTAGATTTCAATTCTTTGCTCTAACAAAAAGTGTTGCTATGGATATTTTTGTACATATATTGTACATACATTCCTTTCCCTCTTTCTTTTATCCTTTCGGGTTATATGCCTAATACTGATATTGCTAGGTCAAAAGATATTCAGTTTCCAATTTGCTTTCCTGAATGGCTGTATCAGTTCACAGTTCCAACAAGAGTATAGTAGGGTGACTGTCCTCTCACAACCCCTCCAATGACTGTTATTTCCCTTTTTGTCATCTTTGCCAGTCTGATAGGAGCAAATTGGAACTTCAGAGTTGTTTTAATTTCCATTTCTCATATTATTGGTGATTTGGAGCAGTGGTGTCAAACTCAAACAGAAATGGGGGCAACTAAAGATACTGGTGGGCTGCATTTTGACTTAGAAAACCACATATGAACATTATGTTCTATTGTATTTTTTATTAACTATTTCTCAATTACATTATAGTCCCTGAACATTTTTCGCATGGTTGCTGATAGCTTTAATTTCTTCTTTTGACAATGCCTGATCATATCTTTTGATATGGTTCTTGTTTAAATATATTTCAATCAGTTCCCTATATATTTTGGATGTCAGGCATTTCTTTATCAGAGTAACTTGCTTCAAAGACTTTTTTTCCCAGTTAAGTGTTTCCTTTCTAATTTAACTGCATTGATTTTATATGTAAAAATTTTTATGCAATCAAAATTATCCATTTTAATTCCTGTGATCCTCCCTATCCCTTGTTTGGACAAAAACTCTTATATACATAATTTTCCATTTCCATTGCCACCACCCCAGTATAGTCCCTTATCACCTTATACCTAGATTACTTCAATAGTTTCCTAAATGACCTCCCTTCCATTAGATTTTCCCCCTTCCATACCTTACATAGATGCCAGGTTAATTTTCCTCACACACAGACTTACCTGTGTTATACTTCCAATCAGTGCGTATTTTATAATGAACTGTGGATTTGGGGTTAGAGGACCTTGGTTTCAGTTTAGGCTCTTCTACTTACTACCTACTTACTACTTACTTAGCAAAGTCACCTCACCTCTTCTCTCTAGGTTTTCATAAAACTTCTTTTTCCTGGTTCTCCTATTATCTGTCTGACTGTTTCTTCTCGGTCTCCTTTGCTTGGTCTTCATCCAAGTCATGCCCATTCACTATGGGGGTCCCCCATGGCTCTGTCTTGGGTCTTCTTCTTACCTTCCTTTATACAATTTTGTTTGGTCATCTTATCAGTACCCATGGATTTTATTATCCTCTCTATGCAGAATGGCTTTTTATCCAGCCCTAACCTTTCTCCATATCTGCAGTCTCACATCTCCAACTGCCTATTAGCCATCTCAATCTTAAACTCAACATAACCTAAACTAAACTTATTAACTTTGCCCCCTAAGCTTTTCCTCTTCTGAACTTCTCTCTTCCTGTTGAGGGTACCGTCATCTACCCTGTCTCCCAACCTGGGTATTATCCTTGACTGCTCATTCTTTCTCACCCCTCATATCCAATCTGTTGCCAAGTTCTGTTGTTTCTGCCTTTGCAACCTCTCTCATATAAGTCCTCTTCTCTTCTCTGATATTGCCACCATTGTGGTTCAGGCCCTCATCATTTCACATCTGGACTACTATAGCTTGCTGGTTAGTTTTCCTATCTCAGGTTTCTCTCCACTTTCATTTTCCATTCAGCTGTCAAAGTGTTCTTCCTAAAGCACAGGTCTGAACATGTCATCCCCCTGTTCAGTCAACTCCACTGGCCTCCAGTATCATGTATAAAAACCTCTGTTTGGCTCTTAAAGTCCTCATAACCTGGCCCCTTTCCAGTCTTTTTACATCTTACTCTCCTTTATGAAATCTAATTCAAAAAATTTTTTTTGTTAACTATATTTCAATGTAATAGGTTTACTTTGTAATTCTATTTTATTTTATGTATTTAAAAACATCATTCTGAGGAGGTTCATAGATTTCCCCAGGCAGTCTAAGGGGTTCATGACACAAAAAAAGTTTAGAATCCCTGCTTTCTCTTAAGCATGAAATGTTAATAATAGGTTCAGGGCACTGTTCTGGCACAAATACATGAAAGTTATAACTAACATTTTGTAGTGTTTGACAGTAATAGCTCAGCTATATAGTATACAGTCCATTATAGTTTACAAAGCACTTTCCTGCTTTCCCTAGTCCTGAGATGGGTATTCTAAGTATTGTTATGCCTCATTTATGAAGGAAACTGGGGCCCAAGACTTGGTCAGGGTGATACAGCTGTTAAATATCAGAGCCAGGACTCTAAGCCAGGTCTCTTGATTCCAAGTAACTGCCTTATTTTCTCCAATCTTAAGTTAATTTGTGCAAAATGTTCTTGTCATTAATGTAGTTAAACTGTTTTCAGTGAGAGGCAGTGTGGTACATTGGAGAGAGCCCCGGATTCTCCCGGATCTCCCAGTTTCCTCATCTGAAAATGAGGAGGATGGGTTAGATAATATCTAAAGTCTCTAGAGTTTCCAAAAGGGCATCTCAAAGGTACTCCTCCTCTTCCTTCTCCTCCACTAGTACTACTACAATCACTACTACCACTGCTGTTACTACTACTACTACTACCATTACCACTACCACCACCACCATTCACAGCTAACATTTCTATAGCAGAATGCGCTTTGCAAATTTTATCACATTTTATCCTCACTACAACCCTGTATGGGAACATGGTATTATTCCCATTTTACAGATGGAGAAGAAACCGAGGTGAAACGATTTACCCACAGAGCTAGTATCTGAAGGGGTCTTTGAAATCGGGACTTCAGGTCTGGCCTTCCAGGTGAGTCCCCCAAGGCAGGAGGGTCGTGGGAGGGGGTGGGACGCAGCCGGGGTTGGGACAGGGCCCGGCTCTCGTACTGCCTCGGGATTGGCGGGGCAACCGAGGAGGCGGAACGGATGTTGCAGCGGGTCTGAGCGCCCGTCCGGCGGAAGGCAGCGGTTGCAACGCCGGCGAGCCGGAAGGCGCTTGACAGATCGGAGGGAGCAGGGGTCGGCCATCGCGCTGTGCTTGTTGGAGGCTCTCGGAGGCCGAGGCCGGTAATCGTGTTCTCCGCCGTCAGGTGAGGGACCGGGCCCTGCCCGTCTGCAGGGCCGTGCGTCCGTCAGCTCCTGTCCTCGGGACTCCTGGGCGGGAGCGGGGGCCGAGGCGAGGTCTAGCCCGGCCCGAGCGGGGTAGGACGTGCCTCGGACCCCGAGCCGCCCCGGGCTCGGGCCCTGGTCCCCGGTCCCCTTGTCAGACCGGCGTCTGTGCGTACGTTGGGGCCAGGCGCGCTTCTCCGAGCCCGGACAGTGCGGACTCGGCGGCCGCTGCTTTGTACCAGCCCGGGGCGCGGCGGTGACCCGCGGGTTTAGGGAGTTGACAGCCCCTGTCACGGGAGGGAATAGTCGTGATAATGGCAAGTCATGCCACTCTCTGGCTGCGGTTTCCTTGTCTGTAAAGCGGGGTTAAGGGGATCATCCCCGCTCCGTGTCTCTCGCAGGGCTTTGGTGGGGGAGAGCTTCCTAAGCGTTTCAGGGCTACAGACGTGGTATTAATAAGCGGACATCTGACGCTGGTAGAGGGTGACAGAACGCGTCTTATTTCATTTTATCCTTAGTAACACGGAAGTTGCTTTCTCTGATTACATTTATTGTTAGTTGCGGAGCACGGATTTCATATCAGAGAATTTATAGAACAAGAAAGGAACTTAGAGATTGTGTAACGTTTTTATTTTACAGGAAATTAAGGCGCAGAAAGATTAAATAATTTGAATAAGCTCACACAGGTGGTGATAGATCTGGATTCCAAATCCACAATTTTCTACTATGCCACACATTTTAGCCCAGTCTCTTGCTGTTGGATTTTTTTTTTAGGTACTTGTGAGGGTTGGGGGGGGGGAGCCGGTCAGGGATCAGGTTTGCAGACCTAGTGCAAAAGTTTTTGTGACCTTACTTGACACATTTAGTTGGAAGGAAACAGAATTTTATAAAGTGCTGTAAAGGTTTTAAAGCACCAGAGTTTCTCAGACTGAGCAGTTGGGAAACTTGTTTTGAAACGTATTGTGTACTGAAACCATGACATTATTTTCAGAAATGAACCTAGTCTGGAATTTCGGATGTTTTCCAGATGAAGGTAGAAAAATTAGTTAAGAAATGAGACCTGAAATTCTTTTGGATGGTTCCATAATAAGGATTTTATTTCCAACATTTTCCCCACCTGAGGAGAGGCATATTCATTTGGAAAAAAGTCATTTTGTATCAGTGAAGAGTAATAAATCTCATTGAAAAATTTATAGAGGATGAAGTTATTTGAAATTAAGACTCAGTGTCTCTTTGTATATTCCAGCTCTGTCTGGTAAATCAGTTTTTCCATAAAATTAAAGTTAGTTCATTTTGTTTTGTATACTTACTTTTTTTTATATGATTCTTTGATTTTTGCAGTAGCACAGAATTTTTTAGTGGGAACCTCAAGACAGCTGCCTCCAACCCCCAAAAATCTCTATTTTAACAAACCCAACAAATTTTCCTCAGTTTGCAGTTAATAATAACTTAATTTTAATGAAAAGGACCAATTTTTTCAATTTGGAAAATAGTATAAAGCTGAGGCAAATAATGCTTTCTAGAGTTTTATTGTTTAAAAAGATTACTTTAGTGTTTCTGGAGTTTTATGTTGTAATAGAAATTTAGGTATGAAATATGACTCCAGAATTCCGCTTTTGGAAATTCACTTTGTTATCATTTGAAGTAGTGGTATTGTTTTGAATCTTAAGAATCAGTATTTCATCTTATGATTCACTGTTTCTCTTCACCTACGTACTTGCCTAAAATTTCTTTTAAAGTTTTCTCTGTGTAGGAAAAAAATCCCTCAAAAGTTTTAGATCATTATTAGAGATACTTTTTCTTGTTTCATATTTTTCTAATACATTTCTAGTTGAAAAGTTTTCTGACTTAACTTCTTTGTGTAACTTTTTTTTTTCCCACTCAGCGTGAATAAGTACTCATTAACAATAGTAATGATGATAACTGACATTTATGTAAGGCTTTAAAGTTTTCTAAGAGTGTGTATGGTATCTCATTTGAGATGGACACCAACACTATGAGGTTAGTACTTTATGTATTTATAGATAAGGAAACTGAGATAGAAAGTTCAAATGACTTAGTCACACAGCTAGTAAGTATAAGAGTCATACATGAACTTTTCTTATTCCCAAGTCCAGCATTCAATTTGCTGTACCACAATACTGCTTTGTAGAGATGAACAATTTATTTTTCTTAGTACTTATTTCTATAAGCTGCTGTTTGCATTTATGGTTTGTTCTTTTCCTATGTACCTATTTTGTTAAAAATTATTTAACAAACATTTATTGAGCACTTTGTGTACTAGCTGTCTGTGGGTATGGATACAAAGTTTAGCTAAAACACAGTCTCTCCTGGATTTTGCAGACTAATTGGGGGGTATCCAGTGTTACATGAAAAGGAAATCAGTTAGTGTTAATTACTTTGATTTTTTTTTGTTTGATTATAGTATTAAACTCCCTTCTTTAGGAAAAGCTAGCCTTAATAGCTAAGCCAGACTAACATAGTCTCATAAATCTAGGTTACCTATAGATTTACTGAATAGATTGATAAGACTTTATCATTTAGTAGTAGATAATTTAGAGTAAGACATGTATTTTTGTAGGAATAAGATAACCATAGCTCCCCTTTCTAGCAGCTGGAGAAAGTGGGAGTTAGCCAAAGGTTAAATTCATCTTTCCCATCTTTGTGGATGAGGTTCTGTTTTTCTTGAGCTAGAGTCCAAGTTGAGTAATGGAATCTTCTAAGGTTGTCAACTGAAGAAGGGAGGCTGACTACTACCTACTGATCACAAGTTCCTCTTTCTCAGTAAGCTTTCTGGTTACAAAAGACATCACCTGTAGAGCAAGGACTTCTGGGGTAATCTCACTTTGACAGCTGAATGTTACTGTTGGGTTAAGAAAGCCTCGAAGAAGTGCACTAGTCAGATAATTGTCTTGTCCAATTGAATTATGTTCAAAACAATATAACGCAGTATTTTTTATTCCTCTTTTCTGTTATAAAAATTAGCTTTGAAAATCAATCCTTGTCTCTGCCATCTGAGGAATCACATAACTTGGTTTGATATGCGAATACTAGCTTTGCAAATTAAATCATAAATGCTTGGTAACTTTGTGCCTCAGTTTCTTTTTGTTTCAGATAATTTTAATACATAGCTTCATTAGAGTTAGAATTACAAAACTAAGTACTCGGAGTACTAATAGATGAGTACCACAAAGAAAAAGTCCTTTACATATTGTTTCTATAGGTAAGTACTTTATATAATAGTATAAAAAGTACTTTACGTATTGCAGTTTTTATATTGTTAGATTCTTCCATTCTTATATATGAGAAATAATCTTAATGTAATTTCTTTAAAACTTTAAATTACAGAATAAGTACTGACCTACTTTAGTAGAAGTTGTTTGTTAATGAGAGTTTCCTCTGCTGATGAAATGACAGGTCTAGTCCTAAAAAGAATCTTAATATAAATATGCTACAGGAAGAATATTGTTGGGGTTTGATATCAACACAGACTAGGTAAGCTGAGGCAGTTTAGTTGCATTCAATCACAATTTCTCTTTAGGTTTGAACACAGTTGCTTCTAGTAATTTTGGGGGGCTTTTTATTTACTTTAGTAATTATATTAATCAGATTGAACTAAATTTTGGAGAAATATTATAAGGTAGCAATGTCTCAAGCCGTTTAAAATCATAACAGTTTGGACACAGTAATCAGATCTGTCATTGTTGAACTCTTTAGAAAGTTGGCCTACTTTATACCTTTGCTGTTTTTGGATTGTAGCCTTTTATCATAATGCTTATTCTGTCATGCTTAAAGAAGCTGTTTAAAAGAAATTTATTTTGTCTGATCATGTCTTTTTGAGTTCAGTTGCAAACAATGTTATTCAACTATAGTAAAATACTTTTTCCTTTGAAAAGTTCTAGAAAAATATTCATTCTTTTGAAATTTGTAGTATGTCACTGACGTGTAAATAGGCATCTCATTAATGAACTAACTAATAATACATGTTATACATGCAATTAAGTCGAAACACCTAAGTGATTTTTGCAGGTTAATTCTTGAATGTGGAATAAAGCGATCAAACTAATTAGCTGTTGCTTTAATTCTAATGATATAAAGTTGGTTTTAATCACCTTTACAAGTTGTAATTGGAAAGTAATCTAGATTTTTATGATTGCCTCAGAAGTTATAGCAGTACCAGATTGTTTCATAATCTTATAATGAAATGTTTCTAGAAATTGTCATGCAAAATATTGATTATAACTTTAGTCAGAAGGACAGTTATTCTTACATCTGTGTTTCGACACAGAAAATGCTAACTGACATACACACTATCCCCAAACTCTTAATTTAGTTTCAAGCTTTAATAGCTTAAAACTTCACCAATATTTTTGAAACACCCTGTACATCATAGTTTCAAAGTTTCAAAGCCTGGCTATCTAGGATCTTCTTTATGATATATCTGACAGATAGTCATCCAGCCTTTACTCAAACACCTTGAGTAAGGGGGAACAGACTGCTTCTACAGGCAGCCCATTTTTCTTTTGGATAGTTTTGTTAAAATTTTTGCCTTAGGTTAAACCTAAAGCTTCCTCTTTGCAACTTATACTCATTTCTACTAGTTTTACTATTTGAGACTAAGCTAAACAAATTTAATCCCTTCTATATGACAACTCTTCAAATACCAAAAATTCCCTATAATTCTAATCTCTGTACTTAAAATCTTTAATTACTTAAAACAATCATCACGGGGCAGCTAGGTGGTACAGTGGATAGAGCATTGGCCATGAAGTCAGGAGGACCTAAGTTCAAATCCGGCCTCAAACATATAACATTCACTAGCTGTGTGACTCTGGGCAAGTCACTTAACCCTAATTGCCTCACCAAAAAAAAAAAAAAAAACCACACACACACCAAAAAAACAAACAAAAATAATGAAAACCAATCATCATTTAGCCCTTTACTTATTCTCATTAGCTGCTTTTGACACATACTAGCCCAG